TGGGCTACAAAGTGAGCTCAAAGCCAGCCTGAACTGCATAGCAAGACCCTGTCTCAAAAAAAAAAAGTACATTTTGAGTATTCTGAAAGTTTCGTATGATTAAAGGGTTAATTGAGCTGGGTCGCTGAATCATCTTTCTTCATCAGTAGCAGGAAAATTACTTTGGTAGAGGGAAGCTATAGGATAAAATGAGAATGTGTTTTTCTGGACTGGTCCCCACTGGCCCCTTGTCACATGGATTTGTAAATGAAATTAGAATTATTAGAGTGGTGTGTTGGAAGGAGATAAATATCGTGGTCAGGCACACCTCGGTTCAGACTGGGACCATTCTGGGTGTTTAGGTGACTCCCTTACTGTTGCCAAGCCTGTTTCTTCCTTTGCATAGTAGGGGTGGTAACAGCCCCTCCCAGGTTGTTCTGTGAGCATTTATAAATGTGACCCTAGTGCCTGGCCCACTCTCCTTCTGCAGTCTCCGCGCCTCAGACCTGTCCTCCATGCAGGTGTCAGAGGGATCATTGTGCAGCTTTTTACTTGAAAGTTTTTGTTTAATCAGTTTTTTTATGTGAAGTAGGCGCACAATTTTTTTAAAAAAACCAGAAATTTATGATAGCTGCTCATTTTTCAGTTTCTGTGTACTTTCTAGCACAGAAAGTATTTGTGTGTTTTTAAATAGGTTGGAATTTACTATATATACTCTTTCAATGTGTCTTGTTTTCATTTATGTGTATTAGACATCTTTCCATTGCAGTACATAAAGTCCCTGCATTGTATTTAATGGCTTTATTTTTGTGCCATCACTTACTCATTTGATCCAGTGTACCTTTTTTTTTTTTTTTAAGACAAGGCCTTGCTGTGCAGTTCAGGCTGTCCTTGAGCTCACTTTGCAGCCCAGGCTGGCCTCGAACTTGCAATGATCCTCTTGCCTCAGTCTCCTGAGTGCTAGGATTACAGGCATGTGCCACCATGTCTGGCTCACAGTGTACCTTTTAAGTTATTTGTAGTTTTTTTTTCCTGCCTGTTAGAAGTGCTGCAGACCAACACCTTTACACGTGTACCTTTGAATAATTGTACACATATATGCAGATACAGTTATTGAATTGTAATTGCCAGGTTAGAATTTAAATTTTTCATTAGCTATTCCTTATATTCTTTCAAAAAAAACAAACAATGAAGCTTACCAATTTGTAGATCTTAGCAGCATGTGAAAGTAGGCATGTCCTCGAGCCTGGGTTGATGTGAGCCAAGGGGCCCAGGTCTTGCCTCCTCCATGAAGCCTTCCTGCATGTCCATCCCTTTGCACTTGTTCACTCACGCTTTATCCTCCCTGCTTTTTTGGTGGAGTTGGGGGAATAGGGTTGCTGGGTATTGATGCTGGGTCTTTGGGCGTGCTAGGCACACACTCCACCACTGGGCTATGCCTTCATTGTAAACACCCCCCCTACACACACTTCTTAGGTGCTCAGCCTAAAGGAGAAGGCAGACTTGCAAGAGCTGTTGTGTGGTGTACAGCTCAGCACCACCCTGTGCCGGAGTGGCGCGGATGGAGCCGTGCTAGACCAGCAGTGGTGCTCTGCAGTGTGTGTGGAAGCTGAGGGGGAGGGGTCAGCACCTGCAGGTCTCTGGTGTGGCTGGTGTGGCTGGTGTGGCTGTGGTGAGAAGTCTTGTACTTCCCAATTTGTAAAACTGGTTTTCTTTTTTTTTTTTTTGGTTTTTCTCCGGTACTGGGAACCGAACTCACGACCTTCCGCTTGCCAGGCAGGCGCTTTGCCGCTGAGCTAAATCCCCAGCCCCTAAAACTGGTTTTCTGAGCCCGGTTGATGTTCTGTTTTGTTGAAATATAATCTCAACAAAGTAGATTCATTAATAGCTAAACTATATCCTTTTATGGTTGCCTTGAAGTTCTTTCATTTGCTCTGATAAAGCCCAAATGTGACACAGAGGTGGCTTTAGTAGATTCTGTCTTAGGTGATTTTTTTTAGCCTAATAAGGGGGTTTTATTTTAATTTTAGAATTATTTTAAACCTCTATATTAATAATTCTAGAACCTAATATGATTGGATATACTCCTAAAATTCAGTGAAGCTAACCTAGTATTATGCTAGTTAGAGTATAGGTTACCAGCAGCTGTAGCGGAGAGTTCCAGAGTTGCTCGGCAAGGTTGAAACTGATTTGTGTCAGTCCCAGCGTTGGGCAGGTGGTCTCGAGTGGGGGCATCTCAGTTCTACAGGGTCTGCAGGAGTCCAGCAGGTGGGCAGACAGCTGTACCATCTCCAGCATGTGACAAGGACAGCAAGCAGCAAGGGAGGATACATTAGAGAGCAAGCAGCTTCGATAAAAAATAAAACATGATCTGGAATCTGTACACGTCCTTCAACTCATACCTCGTTGGCCAGAAATTGATCATGTGGCCATGGCTGGCCACTGGGAAAGCTGCCAGATGTTTCTGCAGCTCCGCCCACTCTAACCCATCCCCTCTCAGCTTCCCAGATAATCTGAAGAAAGCATGTGCTTCTGGTGCTTTGGTGGTTCCCACATCCCTCAGCACCAGCCTGAGTGACGTAGGTTGGCTGCCACAGCCTATAGTGATCTGGCCTCTTTTTGTGTCTCCATCTTCATGACCCCACTACCTGGCAAACAGATCTCAAATGGCTTGAGTGCCTCTCTACCTCTCTGTATTTGCTCCCTCTCCCCAGGCCCCAAAGTCTTCCCCTTGCTTCTGGGTTTAGGGCCCCCCTTGTGTTGGGTCTCCTCTTGAGTGTGTCCACAGCACTTTATAAGCTCACTGGGAGCAGGCACTGTGTTCTGGCATGAAACACATTTGCTGTGGGTAAATATTTTGTAAACAACCAGCTGGCGTATTTACAACGCAGCGAAGAGATGAGTGCCCCCAGTAGAGCAGGCTTTAGTGGGCACTGGTCCTTCTGTGGAATCGTTTGCACTCGTCTCTTGCTAGCCAAGCTGAGCAGTTCACTTTGTGTGGATACAGTCAGCTTAAGCTCTGCCTCTACTCTCTGTCCCCCCACCCCACAGTCTTAGGCAGATGCTGCCTCCTCCAGGAAGCCTGCCTTGTCTTCTGTACTTCTGTGAATGTGTTGGGTCTCTTCCGCTAATGTGTTTATGTTTTTCTTATGGCTTGTACACAGTATGGCTAATGGACTCGTTATGCTTCTCCCCCTAAATGGTGAACTCTATGTTAGTGTAAGACAAGTTCCTAGCTGTGCCTTTAAAATACTTATCGCTTTGGTGTATAAAGGCGTCTCCTGAATGTTGAGTTGTTTCAGTCTCTTACAAAGTATGAATAAGCTAATCTTTCGAAAAGGATATTCATTCAGATGTCAGTCAAAATGGAACAGTGTTGTTGGGAACTATTCAATGTATAGTGTGGGTCAGATAGTGAAGGTTGATCGAATTCTTGCAGCGTCCCTCTCCGTCTTGTCTTTGGAGTGTTGGGGGTGACCAAGCGCTTTGAGGACGGTGCTGGCCCAGGTACATCTGAGTGCCCCTCACAGCAGAGCAGCCTGGCATATGTTCTAGCTCACAGAGCTTCGGCTGCTCTAGGGTAAGCTGGGGTTGAGGCTCTGCTGTGGGGTCAGAGTGGGCAGTTGTGTGTGTCTAGCACTTCCTGGGCAGTGTACTAATGGTTGGCAACAGCCCTGGCTGGCCAGACTCAAAAATGGTGAGAAAAATATGGGGCAGTGGTTATTTGGAGAAACTATTAATTTGACTTCAAGTCTTTGTATAGCTGTTAATTTACTTTCATGTTTAGGGGAAATCCAGACACCATTTTGTTGAACTGTAAAACACCGCTACAAAAAGCTCATTGAGCAGATATTAAGTATTAGATAGTAGAACAAAACAGCAGAAATTTAAGGGAGCTGTAGAAAAAGTATTTTAACTCTGTGTTTTTAAACAGTATGAAATGTTTACCTATATGATTTTATTGTTGGCTTTTTATTTTAAAAAAGACCAAAATAGCTTGCTAACTTCTCCATGAATGTCCTCAGATAAGAGTTGGGAAACCAAGTAAATGTTTGCTTGTTTCTTTTTTTTTTTTTTTTTTTTTTTTTTTTTTTTT